TCTACTGATTCCTATGTACATTTCAGATGATGCATTTAATCAAATTATTTTATGTCAATCATCGCATTTATCACATAATTGATTGTAGATTATGACATTTCTGAAATGATCAGTTTATAGGAAATAATCACATTACATTTATCTATTGAATTGATGGATTTAGCAAATCCATCAATTCAGTGGAGATGAGGAAAACTATTAAGTGAATGCAGGTGATAGTGAATCAATTATCTATTTCTCATCATTTGGGAGTCAATTGTAAACTCTATCCCTTATCATATCAAAATAAGGAAAATCCCCTTAAATGTATGGCATGTGCTATAGGATGAGGAACAGACAAACCACAATGGTGTGTGTCCCATTTTAATGTGGTTGCTTTGTGTCATGGTTAATTCATAAATATAAAAGATAACCTATGTTAATGAGAGCAAATCAAGCCCTATGCATGATGTATGGTGATGCTAGAAATAATCAAAATGAATAGAAAATACACCCTTTTTACCTCTCTGCAAACAGTTGCCTTACTTAGCCTCTCTGCATCACCAACACTATACAGGAATGTACCGCTAGCAAAGAACCTCAGTGCAATACAGACTGACTGCACAGTGGTCAGAGACTGGTTGCGGCATGTGACCTTTATAATGTGTGGTTCCAGCAAACTGCATAGATACACTATGCTTTGCCTGCTGAACCGGTACCTCTCCCACAGATAGGAGTCTGTCTGTATCAATGTGTTGGTCCTGTCCTGGAAGACCCTTGGGGCTGGTGGTGGTTGGAAGGCCCACTGAACAATGTGGGCCTCCTCATCAACAGGATCCTCGATGAAGGGGCATGCCATTATTTCCTAATTTACTCTCTCTTGCTCTGTCTCTGTGTCTCTCTGGGTGTGTCCCTCTCCTTCTCTCGCCGTTGTCAGCTGACCTTAATTGGCTGTGAATTTGCTAGCCAATTGGAAACACAGTGGGGTGGGGATGGGAGGCCAATCACATATTCATGTACAATCTTTTTTTTAATGCCTCAGTTTCATTTTATTATAGTTTTGGTTTTATTAAATTGATTTTGGCTTTACTGTTGTGTTTTGTTTTGTTTTTTTTAAATTATCTTATTTTTATTACATTTTAATTTGTTTTTTAATCGTTTTTTTAATTAATTATGTTACATATTTTATGATCTACATATTATTTTATCATTACATGACAGTTGTGAGTGTGTAAAAGCACTGGCAGAACTGTCTTTTAGGTGTCCTTGTCTATTGAACATTTTTTGATCATAGATGGAGCTAATCCTCACCTTAATCCTGCTACAGATCAGGATTGCCCTGCAGCATAATTTACCATGGTTACTAGGCTGGGATTCAGGTTAACCACCTTGATGGAACGGAGTTGTGGCTCAGTTTGATGGAATGGAAACCTGAGTTTAGCTCTATGTATCAGGCTTAGCCAGAACCATGGTTTCCATGGTTACCGATGTGAGGCTAATCTTAGCCACTTTGATGGAACAGAACTCTGGCTCANTAATCTTAGCCACTTTGATGGAACAGAACTCTGGCTCATATTAGCCAGACTTGGCCATTTAAGCCTGGATTTGCCTTTAGCCTGCTTGATGGAATAACCCCCAGGTGTTATGTGACGTAAGTAAAGAAATCTGGTCACATAATAACAGATGATAACAGAGAGAATACTGGACTGACATTCATCAGGTAAAAAACAAAGACTCTGTATGAATCATCATGTTGATCTGTAACTGCTGGATGTGGAAATAAGAAACTGTTTAACATCTTGTATAGAGAGGTGAACTTTTTAAAGGGTTTGGCTTTGGTATTTTTTGATCTGAACCCTATTTTCCCATGTTTTTGTGTCTAAGTGACTGATGGGAGCAACATGTTTTTTAAAATTGGTCATCCCACCCAGGTGCAAGACTGAATGATTCAGACGCTCTGTTGTGCCCACTGCCATCAGACTGTACAACAGCAGTTTGGCTTAAGCTACATCCAGCTCTGAACTGACTTATTACGGATCTGGTCAATATGACACTTAATCTGCCTTTTGTCACTTTATTTTATTCAACACTTTTTAGTCACTTTATTCATCTTTATGAAGCAATTTTATTTTATTTTATCTTTTTATTTATTTATTTTTGTCTTTATTCTATTTAATGCCTTTTATGTCTTGAGCTGCTGTGACATTTTAATTTCCCCTTTGGGAGATCAATAAAGTATATCTTATCTGATCTTATTCAGTAAGAACCACTCTGGGCATTTGCGTACCATCAATGTGCATCACTAAAAGTGTTTGTTTTTGCTACAGACAGGCTCAGATTGTTATTCTAAGTATTTTAAGCAGAAAGAATCCCTATAGAGAGAGTCAAAAATAACATGATGCGGAAGAATTTGTTTTTTTATATTTTTTGTTGCTTTGTTTCTCTTTGTGGTAAGTTTGTGTGCCCTTGTGGTCGTTATGTGTCTTTGCGTAGTTTCTTTGTGTGTGTATTCTTTTATTTTTTGGGTCATTTTGTGTTTCTTTGAAGTAATTTTGTGTCTCTTTAAGGTATAGCTGTCACTTCATAGTTTTGTGTCTCTTTAGTTTCTTTGCATTACTTTGTGGTAACGTTGTGTCTCTTTGAGGTAATTTTGTGTCTCTTTGATGTATATTTGTGTCTCATTATAGTTTTATGCATCACTCTGGTGTCATTTTGTATGTCTTTGAGGTCATTTTGTGTCTGAAGTTTCTTCACAAATTTTTGTGGTCATTTTGTGTCTGTGTAGTTTCTTTGTGTCTCTTTGAGGTTGTTTTGTGTCTGTAGGTTCTTTGCATCTATTTGAAGTCATTTTGTGTCTCTAGTCATTTTGTGTCTCATTGAAGTCATCTTGTGTCTCTTTGGTGCCATCTTGTGTCTTTCTCTTAAGTCATTTTGTGTCTCCTTGAGCTCAGTGTTGTCTCTTTGAGATCAACTTGTGTTTCTTTGAAGTCATTTTTGCCTCTTTGAATTCATCTTGTGTCTTCTATTTGCAGTCCTTTTGTGTCTCTTTCATGTCATTTTGTGTCTCTATTTTAAATCATTTTCTGTCTTTTTGAGGTCATTTTGTGTCTATTTGAAGTCATTCCGTGGATCTTTGAAGTCATTTTGTGTCTCTTTGAAGTCCTTTTGTGTCTCAAAAGAGCACACAAAATGACTTAAGAGAGAGGCACACTACGCACCCAGCCACGGAAAAATATTATTCCTTGGCTGGGTGCGTAGTGTGCCTGAAGAAAGCCAGAGTGTCTTACTCCTCTTTTGAAAAGTTAATATTCATCTTCAAGAGCACCTCGTGTCTACCTGGAGTTTACCTGAGAGCAACTGGAAAATGTTCTTCCTTTTGTGTCTCTTTGAGGCCATTTTGTGTCTCTTTGAGGCCATCTTGTGTCTATTTGAGATAATTTTGTGTTTCTTTGGAATCATTTTGTTTCTCAAAGTCATTTTGTGTCTCCTTGAGATCAGTTTTGTCTCTTTGAGGTTAACTTGTGTCTCTTTGCAGTCATTTTTTGCCTCTTTGAATTCATCTTGTGCATATTCCATTTTGCAGTCCTTTTGTATCTCTTTGATGACATTTTGTGTCTCTCTGAGGTCATCTTATGTCCCTTTGAAGTCATCTTGTGTTTCAGAATTCATATTGAGTCTCTTTGCAGTCATTTAGTGTCTCTCTGAGGACATTTTGTGTCTCTTTTTTAAGTCATGGTCTGTCTCTTTGAGGTCATTTTGTGTCTATCTGAAGTCATTCCGTGTCTCTTTGAGGTCATCTTGTGTCTCTGTGGTCATTGTGACTTTAGGCCCCTGGGCCTGGACCCAGTTGGCCCATTCAGAATTCCATTCATGAGGAGGGGAAACTTGGAGACAGCAACCAGCTACGTCAAGTCCCTGATGACCACCAGCTCCAATCAGCCAGGAATCAGGAACACTGAAAATACACACAAACAACACTGCAACAACCCAACACACAGGCTCCCTGGCAGAGACCCAGGGGGCAACACAACAGCAATATTAGATTGTTCCTCGTAGTTTAGTCATTATCTAAACATCAGCTGTCGGCATGCTGTGGAATTTTTCTGCCCTCTAGTGGCCACAAATTGCTAAATACAGCTTTAATTATTGCTATAACATACACACAAACACACACTTGAAAAAGACCTCAAACATTTTTCACCCTCTGAAACATCAAACTGCACATTGAGCATTCTCAGCAGTGGCGGCGGCGTTTTCTTTATGTTTGCAGAACTTTATTGGCATTTTCACAAATAGGGCAATTACCGACATGCCCTGGGCCTCTGAGCTGTTTTATTGGAGCTCTTGCCGTGTATGGCACAGGGGTGAGGGCTAGGGGAGGAGAATGGGGGGAAAAGGTGGAAAGGGGGGAAGAAAAGGAAAGAAGGAAGAAAAGGAAAGTGAGATAAATGGGGTGAGAGCTTTTAATTTGGCGAGACTCTGCAAAGCTGCATGCGGGGACTGAACCTCAGCAGAGATTTGCTGCTGTGGTAACTGAGTAAAGAGGGGGAGGGGGGTTGGGGGGATGTAAAGAAAGGGAGAGAGAGAGAGAGAGAGAGAGAGAGAGAGGTACAGTAGCATGCAAATATAAGAGAGGGGTGAAGGGGAGGAGAGAGGGGGGAGTCGCTTCAGTTTGAGAGGAGGGACGCCGGAGGAGCCGCCTCCATTCTCCCTGAAGACACACACGCACGCACGCACGCAAGCAAGCATGCACGCCCGCACACACACACGTACACACACTTTCAGAGTTCGTAAGAGAGAAAGGAAAAAGCTGGAGTGTAGCAGACTAAAGAGAGGAAGGAAGAGGAATGGGGGCTGAACGAACAAGCCTGAGCATGACACACACTCTCTTGCACACACATAGACACCCACATGGATTCTCACACACACACACACACACACACACACACACACACACACATGCACACATACACTCTCCCTTTCTCTCTCTCTCTCTCTCTGTCTCTCTCTCTCTCTCTCTCTCTCTCTCTGTTCCACTGTTCCAGCCAGTTAGGCGGAGAGAGAGCTAGGCAGAAGCAGCAGCAGCAGGAGAAACCAGAGCCGCCAAAACACCAGACGTCTGCCTGAGCCGCTGGGGCTGCCTTACAGTCCTGGACCAGGGCTAACAGGACTTTTGTACAGTTTATTTCCAGGAGCATCTTTAGGGACTGAGACCTGCTCCTCCAGCTGCTGTCAACGCCACGTTTGGAATTCATGTGAGGAACCTGCAGACAGCAGAGTTACACACAGTTCCATCATTTATTTGTTACAAGGGGAAGAAGTTTAGTTTTCTGGAAAACATCTGCAGACCTTGTGACAATCCTTCAGCTACTTTAAGCAGGTTTCAAAGACTTAAACATCTGAGTTACTGCAACCAAAGGACCCACACACTGCCGGATTACAAACAGTTTAATGACCTTTTTTTTGGCACACTTGAAGAAGTTCTGGATTTTGCAAACTACCAACAATCATATAAGTGATTTCCATAGTTTTAAGTTGGAGTTGTGGAGCACCTTTTCATCACTTAACAGTCAACAGTTTTTTAAGGTTATGAAAGAGAAGTGATCTGAACACCTGCTGATAACTCTTTAGTTTGTTTCAGGAGCCGATCTGGAGTTCAATCCTGTTTTTTTTTTCCTAAGGAGCACTTCGAGGTAAAAAAAAAAGTGGTTTTCAAGAAAAATCAGACAACTAAAGGATGCACAAGTAGCAGGATTACAAACAGTTTTATCAATCTTCCTCACAAAGGAGGAAGGGAAGTTTAGTCATCCATTCACATTATTTAATGAGCTAAAAGGTCATCACTTTAAGGGAAAAAAAAACAGAATACTAACCGTGGTTCTATCCAGTTTTATTTTGCAAAGGAGGAAGTTTGGGTTTAAGGACATATTGCATTGTCTCATGGACTTTCTGCAGCCAGAATTTGTTAAACAGTGAGCAAAAATGTTACCTATTTGGAGTTATTTGTGTAAATTACTACTTCCAAGGAGAATCAAGTACCTTTCAAATTTCACCTGAAAAACCTAAAGGATACAAATTCCTTTAGGTTTTAACTTCACATTAAGAGAGAATTATAGTTTGTTCCTTTAGCTGGTAAGGACATAAACTTGACTGTTTGGGGTTTGATGTTTCGAGGACCTTTATGTGACTTAAAGTTTTTACCTTTAAGTAAGAACCCTTTGGATCCTGGTCTCTCCAGCATCCCGTGAGATTTCCACTGTCTGCTGAATCATCATCTAAGACTGCGAGGAGTTAACAGTAACTGTTAGAGTCCTGCAGTGGCTCATCAGACTCCCCTCTTTCATATTTCAGAGATGCAGGACGGCTCTAACAGCCGCCGCTGCAGCTCAAGGACTACGACTGTCTGCTGTAAATTTGTGAGAAGATAAAAGGTGACAGTGAGGAGGTGACTGCGGGATTTGGGGTTGTTCTGCACTCCCTCGTAAAGACGCTGTAAAGACCAGCTTCAAGAGCCACTAAAAGGAGTTGGTGAGTGAAACAAACTGCTAGATGCTTTCCTTAGCAGGAGGAGATCTGGAGGGTTTCAGGGGGATTTTGGCACCTGTTGCATCTGAGCGACTGTTGGCAGCTACTGTTTGACTTGACTCCTAACTCATCAGAGTTTATGATCATTTACAGTTGAAGCATGTTTTTTCCTCCTCCTTGCGTTTGCTCTGTCACATCTGTCACAATGAGAGAATAAAAGCATCAAATAGCAAATGCACACTGAAAGACAGAGTGAATCCTCGTTTAGGAGTTTTTGATCGTCACTTTGAAATAAACCAGACAGCTAACAAAACTTGTTCATCTGCTGAGGAAAAACTTAAGATTTTAGGATCTGAGAGACACATTTTGATTGTCACATTGGACTGTCTTCAGCTTAAATTTGTTGTAATTAATGAGGTAGTTGCAGTCCTCTATCTTCACGTAGTCTTCAGCAATTTCAGGCCAAGGACCCCTTAGCTGAAAGGGAGGCAGAGCAGGGATCCCCTGCTAAATATGGTATGTAAAACTAAGCTGCATATTAAACTGGGCCTACAATAATGTCTAGAGCGGCTTAAATTGGCATGTGTAATCATACCCTTTTATGGCGTATACAATACCATGCTATTAAAATAATAACTAGTCGTGGATTTATATATTTATACGAGGGTTGCAATGTTATACTGGTTTCAAGGTACATCGTTATATTAAATTTGACGGTTATTGTACCAAGTACATTTGCTTATCTACAATATTGAAAAAAAAAAAAAAAGGTTTCAAGTGTCAAATATAGTAGAAAAACATTTGTTTAACCAAAAATAACCCTTCCATTTTAATTCATTTAAGGGTCATCCTGCCAGATAATAATAGTAATACTTTTGTAATACCATGATACTATGAAACCACGATATTTTCTGAGATGGCTATTGTACTGAAAAAAATACCCTTACCCTTGCAAACCTAATTTATTTATCATGTTTGTTTCTGTGGATGGAAGTCTCTTGCTAGAAAAATTACAAAAGGATCCACTGTAGCTCACAAGAATGCCCATTTACTTAAAATAATAATACTACAGCTAATTAGCCAGTATGCTTAAATAGTACCTAACTCTTAGTTAACAAAACTTAAATCAAATTACCAAACAATGTTTTGGCGGCCCCCCAGTCACTCTGGGGACCCTCGAGGGGTTGCCAACCCCCTGGTGAAGACCCCGGCTGTAGACAAGTTTATATGCAACTAATGTGCAACAATGAATACGTTTTGAAGGAAACCTATTCTTGTTTTCTATCAACATGTCGATAAAATTATTTTCTGCCAAAGCATTGTTCATTTTGACAAGATTTCAAAATGTTTCGGTCTTCTTTGCTTACTGAAAATTATAGGTATTCAGTTTGTTTTTTTTAAGTCAAGTTTTAGTCAGTGTTTTAATTTTAGTCACTTTTTTTGGACATTTTTAGACCGTTTCATGATACTATAATGGGTATTTCTCCTGGCTGTAAAAAATTCAAGTAAGACATACCTTGAACTATTCAGTCATCTGGGAATGTGTTACTGACACACCGTCTTCTTTCATATCATATAAAAATGTATATTTCTATATATTATAATGAGGTCTCCTGCTAATTAGCATCATGTTTACTCAGTAGAACTTTGATTTAATAAATCAGCAGTTATAAATATGTGTGTAAACTGTGTCATTAAGGCAGACAAGCGGAGCATTATCTGGGAAACATCATAAATTCACCTTACATGGAGCTAAAATTTGTAGTGAATTATGTAGGCTAATGTCTTCTGGATGTGTTACTGTCTGTTTAAGTTAAAAGAAATCATATATCATTTTTTAGAAGTAGGCTAAATTTTACCACAGCAATAATTTAACTGAGATGTCAGTTCTAGTAAATTTTGCTCTTGATAGCCTGACACTCATTAATGGGTAGGCTAACTAAGAGGTTAATTTTAAAGAAGAAAAACACAAAATAATGTGTAAGACAAGAGGCCTTTCCTTTTCATCCGATGCTCCATTGATTCAGCGAGTATTAGCGCTAAGTGCTATCCATTTAGAGGTGGTAATATTTTTAATGTTTTGTGATGTAAATGTTTTGACTTCTATTTCATTTTCTGTCTGCTTTGCTGACAGAAAGCCAGCTAGATGTGTTAACATGCAAAAATCTAGGGTATGCACACTCTGGCATAAACTGGACCATTCGTAAATTCAGAGCACTCTCAGAGAGGTGCGGAGCACACTCTGGGCAGTCTGTTTGGGGAGATGAATGTGTGATTGAGTTAACTGTTAACTGTTAACTTATTTCAGTGGACGTTGTCAGATTGGATTTATAAACACATCCATAGATCCCACTGCCTAACCTCCAGTCTCCACTAGTAAGCTGACTACCTTGCATTGCTCACTGGCAGAACAGGAGCTAGCTAGCATCGCTGCTCATTTGCTGATGACTGTGGAAACATTGTGCTCACCCTCCAGTCTCCCCCAGCTAGCCCGTCAAGTGAGTGGCTTAATCTTGAGCTGCAAAACCCCTTTAGCATTAATGTTAGCAATGTTAGCTGTGCTGATGCTGCTAATCTTGCTAACAGAGCTAACAGTGATAGCTAACAATGCTAAAGGGGTTTTGTTGCTAAAAATTAAGCCACTTACTCACGTGACGTGAGGGTAGACTGGAAGGTGGCAATAATAGGGTCTTTCTTTTTTTTTTCAATGTGTTTTTAGTTAGATGCCTGAAATAAGGTCTGTGGTTAACACGAGACTTTCATGTTTTGTTCTACAACATAAAAATACATCAGTTATCACCCCAACATGAATTCTCAAGCTTTTATGTGTCTTTTAAAAGGCGGTTGCTAACAAGTGGTGTAATGAGACTCCATAATGTCACCATGCAGAACACAACTTTACAGCCTTATTATGGTGAAGACATTAAGTCATGTGACTGTGGTGTCGTTGTTTTATAGCCTAACATTAGCTTTTCACTTTTGATGATTGCATTTACACTTCAAAAATTATAAAAGTGGTGTTCATCTATGAAGATTATCTTGCTGAACAACATGTGTAAGCATCATAAAGTTTTGTTTGTCACAGAGCTTATTTCTGCAATAATTCGAAATCCAATCGAAAAATCCCATAGGGTTTTTGACAAAACTAGGGCAATGCTAACTTCCATGTCAATCTACAAAATAACCATTATCCCTGCAGCTCTCTGTGTTTCTGCAGCAACACCGTCCCTCTACCATGGGTTAGGACAGTGTTAAGAGCGATATGCGAATACCCACCTAAACAGAATCCAACTGTTTGATCTCGACTTTACTCGTCAGGGCATAATAAACAGTTGTTTTTGTTGCAAATATTTTCTTCATTTATGTTGTTACAATTTAGTCATGAAAGAAAAAATTGTGCCAAAATATGAAATCTTGCAAAACAATATCCGCTTGAATCAACTGCAGCATTATTTAACTATTTTATTGTTATTTTCACAAACACGCAGCAGTGGGTTAAGATAAAAAAAAGTCTGCAGGGTTTCTGGTGTCATGGTCCTCTGGTTTTAGTAAACACTACCCACCCCCCGACCTCCACCCTTTGTGCTTATAAATGTGCAGTTTCATTGACAAAATAAAGTTCCCTTTGAGTGTAATCCCGCCAGGAAAAGCAATTTACTAGAGACTGGGCTGCAACTACAGATGCCGCATGAATCAAACCTGTGAGATCATATAAATAGCAGCTAATATGTGGCTTTATCTCCTGGGACAAGAATGAGAACAGCTGCACTGCCTCTCCGCCACCCACATTCCCATCAACAAGAAACAAACGGATATTCTAAGAGGCAGGCAATGACCAACCTTCTGCTGGTTTTCTGTCCTTTAAGATTTGGAGAGATTCTGAAGGAGTCTCTGTGCGACAGGCGATGGCAACAAGAACTTCTGGCAAGTCTCTGTGTGTTTTCCAATGTGGTAATTGAGTTCTTTTCTCAGTTCATGGTTTGGATGCCTCAGTGAGAGGAGCCACAACCACATCAGGAACTTGTAATAAGGGCTAAATAATTGGACAGCAGAGTTTCTAGATGTGTCAGCCAAATTCTTTATAGCTGCAGAGGACAGAAAACAGAAACATCTCTCCACTGGGCTGATAAAGGCTACCAAAGTGGCTTGTTTGAGAATTAATTTTTTCTTTAGATTTAGAAACAGTAGACAGATAAAAACCAGAGAGAGTGACTGATGAGTTTTCTCTTAAAGTCTAAAGCTTAAATCCCACTGTGAGAAACCCTTAACTGACCCTGCAAATGTAAGAGATAATTAGCTTTTTATACAAGAACATCAGAGGAGAAATCAGACAGCTTTCAGACCCGTTGTCCTTGCCTGAACCCTTAATCAACTTTGGGAAAAAGACAAGTTTTATTAGTTTGGTTGCCTTCGACTTTCCACAGGCCCAATTCTAAATTGCTTTGAATAGGGAGGCAGTAAAGGTTAATTTATACTCCCTTTACGTAGGAAAATAGAAACGGAAAGGCCACTGCCCCCCTACTTCCATGCATCCCTTTCTGTTGGCATAGATAAAACCACTAGATGGCACTAAAGGGCAAAGTCAGAAGTTTCACATAACAAAAATGAGGTGATGGTGGAGGAGGTCGTAACATTGTTACCTTTTGTTGTGGTCTGCAATGCCAGTAAATGCATCACTACATGTGGACAGAGAATTCTTTTCATTTTGTTACCAATCCATTCCATTCCACCTAATTTATATTTGATATGATCTCTGATGGTACAGCTCTGTGTCGCCTGTATCTGTAAGCGTTTAGGAAACGTGCACAAATACAGACGAAATGAACAAAGAGTACAGACAGAAGGCTCTGTCCTTTTCTGTATCTAACGTACTTGTCGTCGTCCTCCACTTATCCGGGTCTGGGTCGCGGGGGCAGCTGCCTCAGCAAAGAAGCCCAGACAGTGCTCTCCCCAGCTACTTCTGTCAACTTTTCCGAGGGAACCCCGAGGCGTTCCCAGGCCCGCCGGGCGATGTAATCCTTCCAGCGTGTCCTGGGGCGGCCCCGAGGTCTCCTCCCGATTGGACATGCCCGAAACACCTCCCAAGGAAGGCATCTGGAAGGCATCCTTACTAGATGCCCGAACCACCTCAACTGGCTCCTCTCGATGTGGAGGAGCAGCGGCTCTACTCTGAGCTCCTCACCCTATCTCTAAGGCTGAGCCCAGCCGCTTGTACTCGCAATCTTGTTCTTTCGGTCACTACCCAGAGCTCGTGACCATAGGTGAGGGTTGGAACATAGATCAACCGGTAAATTGAGAGCTTCGCTTTCTGGCTAAGCTCCCTCGCGCCTGCATCACTGCTGACGCCGCCCCAGTCTGCCTGTCAGTCTCCTGCTCCATCCTACTCTCACTCATGAACAAGATCCCGACTTATACTCCTCCACCTGAGGCAGGACCCTGATCAGTCTGATCAGTCTGATCCCCATCACACCTCTGAATCCGGAACACCTGCATGCTATGTAAAAGCACACACAGAGGCACATTTATGTCGGTGGGGGGACTTTTTATTCATTAGATTAAAATGTGCTATATCGGGATAGGTATCTTTATCGGGATTTTGGTCATATCTCCCAGCCCTATAAGATGCCATAGGTTTATGCTAAAAATGTTTGTATGTTGTATTTGTTTAGAAAATGTGCTTAGTATAAGACAGTTGTTTTGTCGGTGAACCTTGTGAGCTGTAATTGAGACCATTTTTGGAACGTTACCTTTGTTAAAAGTTGCTGTTGTTCCCGGCTTCATATGAGTAGAGGAAAACTCCACTAGCTGCTCGGCTAATTCATGCAATGCAAAATGTCATAGGCTTATGTTAATAACGTTAGCATGTTGCATTGCAGAAAAGCCTCGACTAAGGCTGTGCGAAGTGATCAGAAATCACAGTTAGTTTCCCACAGTTCTGCAGGGGAAAGAATTTCAACGTTGTAAAACATCCTTTTACAATTTCAGAGCTTGAGTTGAGTTAAAAATTTACGCCAGAGTTTGGAAAGTTCATGAAAGAAAAACTTTGATCACCAAAGTTTCTCTGGATGTTAATTGCTGTTCCTCTTTGGGCTAAATCATTTGATGAATAATAATAATAATTATAAGAGTTTTGGATAATTATTTTTTAGAGAGCTGACTAAAGATCTAAAGCATTGACGTCTCTTTTTCTCTTGTCACAGATCTCTCTGTCAAACATCAAGGACGTCTTTTTCCACTGTTCAGAGATCAGAGCAGCAAAAAACTCCACTGACACCAACAAAGTATTTTTCTATTTTCTGACATCAATGAAACTTTTATGTGTCTAATTTTCCTCATTAGGTGCTCATTAAGGAAATCCTCTCCAATACCAGGGACATTTTCCAGCTTGCAGAGCTCCCCTTCTGAGGGATACTTTAAGTTTCCTTCTTTCTTTCTTCTGAGCTTGATGGCAAGACAACTACAGAAACTACAGATGCCATGAGGAGGTGGCGTGAAGACGGCGTAGCAGAAAAGTCTGCTGGGAGTGTGTAAAAGTGTGTGTGCATGCTGTAGATAATGTGCATGAGAGAGTGTGTGTGGTGCTCATGTACGTATCCGTGCATGTGTGTGTGCAGCTGACTGTGTATTTGAGTTGTACAAAAGGGCCCAGACGCCCACATCACACAGTGCGACAGCTACTCGGCTGCTTCTGAGTTATTTCCTGTTGCTCAATACTTGTTGACTCGCTGTGAGGAAAAATACATCAACCAGTCGGATATGAGAAGGAAAAATTTCAGCATGAACAAACAAAATTTTCAAATATTACTGGTGGGGAAACTGCAGAGCAAAGCTGGAGGTCGGACCAGTCGACTGGAACGTGCTGCTCTGATTGGATGATTACTGCTCTCTCTTTTTTGTTTCTTTTTTGTCCTGAACTATTTAGGCTTTTCTGTTTTGGCAACACATCAGTTGTCTTTTTGAGTTTTCACAGAGACACATCAACCAGGCCTTGATGATGTGGATATTTATCATTATTGAACTCAGATTCTTGGATCTTGGATTACAGCTGTTCCACCTTAACTGACTGCAGAGCATCATGGGAGGTAAGAAAAAAAAATCTGGTTCCTAACTGGTGTAGCAGAATATGATGACGATATAATTCTCTTTTTAAAAATTTACTTTTTTACATTTTAATTAATAAAACATGACAATTAATAATTAACAAATAGTAGTGTCAAAAGAAAATACAGTTTTAATCATCGACTCACTGAATGTGAGCTCAGAAGTATTTCTCCTCCTTTTTTTTTTACTACTTTTCTTGAAGCCATAGATTTTTTGGGGGGGGAGGGGGCAAACTTTTATTTCTCCACCAAACTTTTCAGAATCTGGTGCTCTGCAGTTAGTTGGACCACTTTTAGCACTATTCTGCAACTATTCAGAAGACTTTTTGTGCAGCCATGCTTCCTGGAGGACTGGTGTCAGGTGGAGGGGGTCGTGGCGGCAGCAGGCTGTGCCTGCTCCGGTGGCTGGGCCTCAGGCTGTGGTCCCGTCGAGGGACCCTGGTGTTTGCTCTGCTCTGGTTCGGCTCCTGGTTGTTCTTGAACGGCCTGGTCCTGGTCCACAGGAGTATCCTGTCCGACTACTGCACCGACGACAAGAGCAAGAGGATTCTGCAGAGGCTGGTGAGTGACATGGTTAGCTGTGTTTGATCATTATTATGTGCACTTTAGTCAAAGGATGATTCTGGAGATTATGGTCTTACAGCTCAACAAAAATCTATTAAGTCATTTTGTTATTAGAGAGTGAGACTGTCATTGTGGCTATACTTGTGGTGTGGAGTCTGTCTTCCTCTTGCGTTAGAATGATTTTCAAAACTACATATTTATAGTAGGGCTGTCAAACTATTAATTTTTAACTCACAAGAAATTGCAGAATTTTAGGAGATAATTGCAATTAATCACACTTTTTAATCACAGGTTTAAAATTCCATTATTTTGCAGCTCAAAACAGTTTTAAAGTTCATATCACCAAGGTAAAGCAAGTATTTTGATTGGGAATCAAATAAATTCATAGAAATTGACTTCATGATCTTGACTTTTAGATTTATTTATTTCAAATCAGCTCTGCACTGCTAAAACAGTTTGGTTGAAGAGACAAAATAACAGCATGCAATTAACCCTCTGAGAACCACATACTGTAGACCCATCTTTGTCTTTTTTTTGGGGAAAGACAGCGGATCTTCTGGGGGAGATAGCAGATCAAAAGTATATGCTATGTAGAAGTGGTATATATCACCTGAAAGCTGGAAACCTGATGCTTAATTTGAGATGCATCTCATCACTGTGTGTCAAGTTTTTGTAGTCATAAATCTGTATTAAACACTGCATGCAAAGAAGCGGATAGTTTGTGCCCTAAACTGCACGGGACTAACATAAAGTTGACATGTCTGTAAACCCATTTTAATTCTGATTTCTTGAGGTCAAAGGACCTCTGTGAAAATGACCATGCCGTTTTCGCTCACCAAAATTTAGCCTAAATGTGTTATTTAGCCCCCTCCCTGAGAAGCTAGCATGACATGGTTGGTACCGCTGGATTCCCTAAGTTTTCTAGTTTCATATGATATCTATATCATCACTCTAGCTTCAAATAGCAGCACACAATTAAAAAAAAAAATGTAAGCATTGTGGTTGAGTGATTAACGTGTTAACACTAAGTGAAGGTTGCATTTTCTTGTTGACTGTCTGATTGATGATTCATACAAATCTGTTATGACATAAATCCAGGTGATGACAGCCTGTTTGTTTAAAGGATGAATTATGATTTTTTTGACTCTTCGTATCTACGACTGCATCACTGCTAGATGAATGAGTTATGTGGGTGGATGTGTGTACATGTGTTGGTGACAGCTATGTATTTACACATCATCTTGTTGCTGGGTTAGTGAATTGGTTTATTGCTGATACAAACTGGATTACTGAGGAAATGCTCTGATGCTCTTTTCTTTTTTAAGAGAATTTCTGTGTCAAAGTTTCACCTTCCTTTGACCACCTACAGTGAATGTGTTTGCCTTCAGTCCTTCAGTCTCTGTTAAATAGGTTCATGCACTGTACAGAGAAAAGGGTTGGCTTTTGACGATTACCTATGCCATGAAAACAGAACCTTTCAATGTGTAATCATTATCTCCAGGGCTTTTTAATACTGTTAACAACTTTTTAAAGCGACAATGGAAAGAAAAGGTGAATGATATTAAGAAGTCATTAGAAAACCACATAGGTTTTAGTGTTTCAGTTACAGTTCACAGATGGTGAAATCATCCAGTCAGTTGTTTTGGCTGAACTGCAGCATGCAAGGCCAGCCCTATAAACACTAAAGTTTGTCCATGAGTGAGTGATGAAGTTACAGAGTGAATAATGATGAAAGTGTTGGTGTTCCCCCATTGGCTGTTGTTCTTTAAATATAAATAGGCACAGCTAGGCCTGTATTATTGTATTCCTCATTTTCCGTAGCCACTGCCATATAGCATGGTTGAATTTCCAAGCTTTAACTTAATGCTTCATTCACAAACTCTTGTCACAGAGTAGGAAAGCACATTGCTATTATCAGATGAGTGACAGTTTCATTCAGCTCATCCTCTGTAGCCACTGTAAGGTTAGCAAGCTAGCTGTGTTCAAAATAGCACTTTTGTATAAAAGAGAGGATCACTGCAACAGTTTTTTTTTTTTTTTTTTTAAGAGAGGATCACTGCAACAGTTTTTTTTTTTTTTTTTTATGAGGAACGCCTGTGTATGTATGACACAAGCTTTAAATTTATTTAAACGTTGTTGACTATTATGTGGTACAGTGTCAGAACAAGTGCCACCACCGTGCTAGGGGTGT